GGAATGCCGGAGCCCGGGGTTCTGCGCACGAGGTTGGGAGCCAGGCGAGCCAGGGCTGCTTTGGGACGGGTCCCTGGCGGGGCCTTTGGACAGAAGCTGCCCGCCTCCCCGCTGCGTCTTTAAAGTTTCCTGCTTTCGCGGCCTTGCGGCGGCGCCTCGGGCGGGCGTGGGGGCCCCTCTGTCAGTTCCCGGGGGGGTTGGCGCGGCGGGACTCCCCGGGGCTCCTGGGATCCTGTGGGACCGGGTGAGGCCCGGGGATCGGGGCTGTAGGTGTTCCGCTGGCGGAACTCTCGGGTTTCTAGGGTCTTCTTCACTCACTCACATCAAAGCTTCTGTGCGAGATGTTAGCTGTGGCTAATATCTCACATCTTGTTTACATTCTGGGGAACACGATGATGAAGCGAAGTTCCAAAATTGGGTCGGCCGAGAAGTCTGGTGGGGCCTAGATCGTTCTTTACCCCCCCCCCCCCCCCCCCCCCCCCCCCGGGGGCCCTAAGTCATGGTAATAACTTAGGGATGTAGATTGCGGTCGGCAAACCAGTGCATATGGTTGAGCAGACTTGGTAGTGGGATGTGCACCGGATAAAGCCCTGTTGCCAGGGCTGGCAGTGTGCATCCATCTAGGTTACTGGGGAGCAATTGCAGTGCCTGCGCCCGGCCTCCGAGGATCGTACCATGAGGGGGTCGGCTAAGGGCAGAGACACTTCCGCACCGTGCGGATGACCGGACGGCTTCACGGCGCACCGGAGGCCAGCAGCTCCAAGCGAGGGGCCGGGGTTTTGTGTCCCTCGCACACCAACCTCACAGCCTCATTCTCCCCTGCCCTGCTAAGCAGGAGACTGGTTAGTTATCCGATCAATGATTAGAGAATGAGAAGGCGCGCTGTACCCCAGCTCTGCAGGCTCTCACGCTGTCATTTCGTCGGCTGCTTCATGGGCAGCATCGAGTTGGGCCCTGGCAATAATAGGTGATCTTTTTTTCACCTGAAGTTATGATACTTGATCTTTTTTTTTTTTTAAATATATTTTATTGATTTTTTACAGAGAGGAAGGGAGAGAGATAGAGAGTCAGAAACATCGATGAGAGAGAAACATCGATCAGCCGCCTCCTGCACATCCCCCACCGGGGATGTGCCCGCAACCAAGGTACATGCCCTTGACCAGAATTGAACCTGGGACCCTTCAGTCCGCAGGCCGACGCTCTATCCACTGAGCCAAACCGGTTTCGGCTATGATACTTTGATCTTTGCTGGTAAAGGTTTCAGTAAGTCAGACTGTGACTAGTTTTAAAAGGAATTTGACCCACAGCAAACAAGTGGGGCTGAGATCCATAAGGAAGATAACCACTTGCTTTGTTACAGAAGATGGAGCAGTGATTTACTTACTGAAAGGGGTGTGCACCTTTTCACTTTCCCACCACTCATTCCAGAGTTTTCTTTTGTTGAAATTTGAGAATCGAGTAGAGGAACTAAAAATTACTGATTTCTTTTTAAAGAAAACAGTGGGATATTGGTAATTTTAAAACATTCTTTTTCTGATCTTGAGTTTTGTGCTAAAAAACAACAGTAATACCAATTCGGAAAAATTTACAGGTGGCCACAATGGCTGAAAATGGTGATGAAAAAATGGCTGCCCTGGAGGCCAAAATCTGTCATCAAATTGAGGTATGATCCTTGTACTATTCAACTGTGGAAACGAGCCCTTTGAAAGGAAATTTAGGGCCTCAGAACAAATACAGAAAGAACATTTAATTTCGGTCATATACTGACCCATTATCCAGTATTTGGCTTGTCTTTGATTCTTGGAATTAGTTGTACATATAATAGTACAACTGTTTTTGTTTTTGTTTTTTTTTAATATATTTCATTGATTTTTCACATAGAGGAAGGGAGAGAGATAGAGAGTTAGAAACATCGATGAGAGAGAAACATCGATCAGCTGCCTCCTGCACACCTCCCACTGGGGATGTGCCCGAAACCCAGGTACATGCCCTCGACCGGAATCGAACCTGGGACCCCTCAGTCCGCAGGCCGACGCTCTATCCACTGAGCCAAACCAGTACAACTGTTTTATATTGGTGGAGCCAGTTCATGAAACCCAAGACTGTAGGCATTTCAAAAGATAACATTGTAGACTAATGTTACTTACCTTTTTTCTTTAGTTTCCTAGTCTATAAAGTGAGGATAATAGTACTTTCCTTATAAGGTGGCTGTGAGGGTTACATGTAATAAGATGTAAAACATACAGCAGAGTGCCTGGCACTTACTGAGGTAGTATCATTCTTTGTGAAGTACCTTCCCTGTTAACTAGCACTTTATATCTGTGAAGATCTTCGTTGTTATTCCTGCCCAGATAGTTCTCGGCGGTTGTAACTTTTAACAGAATATTTGTTTGCAGAGTCCACTAAGCATTTTTTTAAGCTTTTGTATTTGCAAGTCGAAGCTTTACAATAATGGCTGCTGTGGGTAATGTCTTAGTTTCTATTTTATGTTTTTACTGAAAAACTTCATATTATTTGGTGTGTTTTAAGTTTTACTTCTTTGTCATTTAAAATTTCCTATATTGCAATATTTTGTACTAATTTCTTTAATTGTGAAGGAAATTATAAATTATTCTGTGTTAATATTTAGAATAATACAAAGAAGCACATAGAAAACATTAATGATGTCCCTTCTATACCCTGTCACCTCTCAGATCCCACCCTCCTGAGGTAATTGAGGTTAAAGCCCAATGAATACACTTTTACACTTTGGTCAGTGCTGACACTAACATAGTTTTTAATTCCTTCCCTGTCCTCCACCAACCATGGGGTGCAATGTACCCCATTCCCTATTTGATATGTAGGGTATTTCCAATATTTTAGCTATAACAGTTTTATCATGATATCTTTACATATAAATGAATAAACATGTTTACTGATTTAAAGGTTATACACATTTTTTAAAAACTTTCAATAATTAAGGCCAATTTACATCTCTGCCTGCATGACCATTTCTCTGTATTCAGGACAATACTAGGTATACTTTTTAGAATTTCGGCCAATTTGTCAGGTGAAAAATGCTATTTCATTAATTTATATTTCTTTGATTAATAATGAATTCAATTTATAGTACATGTTTAGTTTTAGTAATTTTTTTAATGTCCTTTATTCATTTTTTTATCAGTGTTTCCTGGGGTTTTTTCTTCCAGACCCTTGATTCCTAAGAATTATTAATAGACTTATGTGTTTGTCTTATTTTTGGCATTCCAAGTAGTCACACTTGGGCCTTTTCATGTATAGTTTTTTCTTGTTTTTATACTGAGAAAGGGTGCTTCTATGCTTAAATTAGATATACACTTTTAACTTTTAAAAATTAGAGTGATTAACCAGTTTATTCCACGTTTTAAATTTATTCTTTGCACACTGATTTGAAGCAAGAGGTTTTTTTATATACTAAATCCTTAGGTATGTTTTTATTTGTTGTTGACCTATCTGTTAATTACATTGTTTAATCAATTTTTAGTTTTACCTTTTTGTTAAATTTGTATTATAAATATTTAATTATGGTATCTTTAGGAGGAAATATTGCCGCTTAAATTCTGACATGTATTTTTTAAAATATGTTTTTATTGATTTTAGAGAGAGGAAGAATGAGGATGGGGGAGAGAGAGAAACATTGATTTCCTGCCTCCTGCACCCCCCCCCCCCCCCCCCAGCGGGGGCGCAAGCCTGAATCCAGGCATGTACCATAACTGGGAATAGAACTGGTGACCTTTTGGTGCATGGGACGACGCGCAACCAAACGAACAATACTGGCCAGGGCATGACATGTATTTTTAAAGAATATAACTTAGTGATGTGATAGTAATTAAAATAAAAACCCTCCAGAGTTGGAGTCAGTATTATACAATGATCTGAAATATATTGTAATTATCTTGCAGTATTATTTTGGTGATTTCAATTTGCCACGGGACAAATTTTTAAAGGAACAAATCAAACTGGATGAAGGCTGGGTACCTTTGGAAATAATGATAAAATTTAATAGGTAAAAACCTTTTAAAAACCATCTTTAGATTTTCTGTTAACAAGTGCTAGTACTAAGTCTTACAATGTTTTTACACATATTCTTCAGGTTAAACCGTCTAACAACAGACTTTAATGTCATAGTAGAAGCATTGAGCAAATCAAAGGCAGAACTCATGGAAATAAGTGAAGATAAAACCAAAATCAGAAGATCTCCAAACAAACCCCTCCCTGAAGTGACTGATGAGTATAAAAATGACGTAAAAAACAGATCTGTTTATATTGTGAGTGGGCCTTTAATGCAATTAATTATAACTTATTTATTTAGAAAGAATGGATGATAGAGTTGGTGAGAATAAGGGCTCAGGAATCATAGCTTCACTACTTATTATATGTCCCTCACCACCTACTATATGTTCTTATCTCTTTAAGCCGTATCTTTATAAATGGGGATAATATTTTTACCTTATAGAAGTGTTGTGAGAATCAAATGAAAAACTCATATACCATTGGATAAAATATTTAGCATATAAACACCTAGTGAATATCACCTGTTCTTACTTGTCATCAGCTAAACTTGATAGCAATTTTTTTTTAGTATATTAATTTTTAAGTATTTTTTATTCTGGAAAATTTCAGACATACAAGAGTAGATTGGATATATAATGTATAATTTTCCAGTTGTAACAGTTAATACCTGATTAATCTTGTCCTGTCTCTGTTCCAACTGGATTATTATTATTTTTTTTTTTTACAACAACTGGATTATTTTGAATTGAATCCCAGATAAAAGAGTCACTCTTATTGTACTAGATAGCAATAGCTCTTAACCAGAGCTGTCAAACATTTGAGGGAGGGAGGGATAGATGGATATCCTGACTTCATTTCAAGACAAAAGGATTCAGAATTTCTGGCTCATTGTTTACCTGAGAAGTCATTTGTACATTTCTTCCTACTCACAGAAAGGCTTCCCTACTGATGCAACCCTTGATGACATAAAAGAATGGTTAGAAGATAAAGGTCAAGTACTAAATATTCAGATGAGAAGAACATTGCATAAAGCATTTAAGGTATGGTTTATGATGTAACAGACTTTTTCTAGTTGAAAAATATATGGGACATAACTAAAAAAAAATATTTCTCCCCCTTTTAAAAGGGATCAATATTTGCTGTGTTTGATAGCATTGAATCTGCTAAAAAGTTTGTGGAGACCCCTGGACAAAAATACAAAGACACAGATCTGCTAATACTTTTCAAGTAAGTCTTTTTGCTGATGTTTCTTCTGGCCACTTAGTTATGTGGAATTGACACACTGGGGTAAGGAATATGGAATAGCCTCCTCTATAAGTCCAGTAGTTTTGGTATCCATAGGATCCTTTGAGAAATGCTTGAAATTTGTTTAGTGGAAACTTAATCCTTTGAGAATGCATAGAAATGTTTATTAATACCTCTTCTCTGTTAGCAACTAGTAAATGAGGCTAAGTTTTAGAACTTATTTTGCATCTAAAATTCATAATCAGGCTGGATACTGAAGTTTGGGCTTTTGGTGTTAGAGAATAAATCACTACAATTTTTATCTGTTCTTCTCATAGTCTATATGCCTGTATTTTATATAGTACAAAGGATTTGGATCACATTTTTTAATGTATGTGTCTAAAAACTTGGACAAACCAGAGCATTTGCATGATAAAGTTAGATGGAGGACCATTGTCTCCTGCTTTTGCATTACATAGTATAATTTTTCTCTCTTTACCGCGACCAGCACGGCTAGAGAGTGGACGAGTCCTGTGTAGGGGCAACGGGGGATTGAAAAAAAGAAAGAGACAGACACAGAGACAGTAGGGAAAACTGGGACCAGGTGGGATGCTGCCCTCTGATGAAGAGACAGTGACCCAGAGCTGGTGCAGCGCGTTTATTATAATACAGCATGATACCAGAAAGTTTTACTGAAGTTTAAGACAAAGGAAATTATGTGAAATCATGGTTAAGGATCAAGCTGCAATTCTTCATTCTTGTGGCTTCTTTGTCATTGTCACTCCTGGCTGAGTCCATTCCTGGCGCCTGGCTGAACTTAGATAATGAAACCCACACCCTGGCGCCTGAGCTAAAGGTTAGGCTGACAACATACCTGCCTCAGGCAAGGTATGTTTCCAGGACGTGGCTCTGCCGATGCCCTGGACTCGGCCAACAATCAGCTCATGTGCCTTCCCAGGCGCTCTCTACAACATAGTATTCTAAATATGCTGTGTACTAAACTGGACTTAGAGATGCACTGTGATGAATCATGCTCAGTGTTACATTCTCAAAAGTGTTTTTTCTTTTTTAGACTTCACCCGAGGATATGTTTGTTGGTTTTTAAACAGAACATGATTATATTTAATACACAAGTTTGATACAACCAAAAAGTAAAACAACAGAGTAAAATAATAACAAAAAAACATGGTATTTCATTTGCAGTGCATGAGAAATGGTTAACATCTTTATGACTTATTTTGCATCTAAAATTCATAATCAGCTCTTAAAAACCAGTAACAGAGACACTATAATGCAAGGAAACTGGAAAAATAAAATAAGTGATGATTAAGCATATACAATGATTTTGCTGAGCAGTAATGAAGAATAATTTCTCTATAGTATCACAGTGAGCAGAATAAAGAACTGACACCTA